CCTGTATCAATGTAGATAATCTTCTTTCAATTCACCCTGTGGAAAGATTCTAAATCTTTCTTTATTAACTAGGATGACCATACAATTTATCATCCAAACCAGAATACAGAGTCTAGGGGTACTTTTTTTTTTTTTTTTTGAGACAGAGTCTTGCTCTGTCACCCAGGCTGGACTGCAGTGGTGCAATCTCAGCTCACTGCAAACTCCACCTCCTGGGTTTAAGAGATTTTCCTGCCTCAGCCTCCCAAGTAGCTGGGACTGCAGGTGTGCACCACCACACCGGCTAATTTTTGTATTTTTAGTAGAGACGGGGTTTCACCACGTTGACCAGGATGTCTAGATCTCCTGACCTCATGATTCACCCGCCTCGGCCTCCTAAAGTTCTGGGATTACAGGCATGAACTACTGCACCCAGCCCCACCCAAAGGAGAGCTATTAATGAGCACCCAGGACAAAGGCCTAAACCTGGCTGTCCCAGGCCCACTGGGATCAGTAGTTGCTCTAATATTAGCTTATTTACTCTGTGGTTAGTCGGTAGCATGCCAGGAACTGCCATAAAACCTTACAGGCAACATGATGGGGTGAACGAACAAAATGCCCTGCCAATCCCATCCACTGGCAGAGATGCTGCAGCTGGAAATTCATTTGCAATCTACTCTGGTGCCTGCACTTTGTATGAATTAGAGAAAATTATAACATCAAGTTTCCTAAATGGAAGGACTTTTTCTTGTCTTTTTTTTTTTTTTTTTTTTGAGACAGGATCTTGCTCTGTCGCCCAGGCTGGAGTACAGTGGCATGATCACGGCTCACTGTAACCTTGACCTCTCGGGCTCAATCTTCCCACCTTTCAGCTTCCTGAGTAGCTGGGACTACAGGGACATCCCACCATGCTTGGCTAATTTTTGTATTTTTTTGTAGCGACAGGGTTTCCCACGTTGCCCAGGCTGGTCTCAAGGGATCCACCCACCGTGGCCTCCCAAAGTGCTGGAATAACAGGTGTCAACCACTGTGCCTGGCCTGAAAGGAATTTTTTTTTGAGACAGAGTCTTGCTCTGTCACCCAGGCTTGAGTGCAGTGTTGCGATCTCGGCTCACTGCAACCTCTGCCTCCTGGGTTCAAGCAATTCTCCTGAGTCAGCCTCCCAAGTAGCTGGGATTACTGGCGCCCATCACCACAACCGGTTAATTTTTTTGTATTTTTAGTAGAGATGGGGTTTCACCATGTTGGCCAGGCTGGTCTCAAACTCCTGACCTTGTGATCCACCCGCCTTGGCCTCCCAAAGTGCTGGGATTATAGGCGTGAGCCACCGCACCCAGCCCAAGGACATTTTAAATAGAATAAATCAAGCAAGTATTTCTTTTAATTTTCGACTTCAGATACTTGAAAATACGTAAACTCTTTTGATGGAGTCAAATCATTAGGAACACTTTTGGTAAATAGCCTACTGGGTTTCTTAGGTAATAGAGTTGTCATACCCATTTGGACTATTAAATTATCTGCAGAAGGCTCTGAAGTTCATGATTCTGCGGTGTTGACATTTTGCAATAGGATAATGAAGCTGGAGAGGCCCTTGATAAGGCTGTCTTTATCACATAGTACTGTTTCTCGGCCAGTGCCTCTCCCCCATCCCAGCCCATCCAGGCCCCATGATACACGGGAAGACCCAGAGCTGGGTTCACCAGGCTAATGCTGTCTCGCCTTTGTAAGATAAGCTGCAGATCTGCATCCCTATGTGAGGCTCCCAGCCAGCGGCATGGCGAGGGAGCTCACAGGCTGAGTGGAAAGACATTTCCAACAGCAGGAATCTCACAAGCAAAGCCTCAAGGGCAGACAATTGTGGGTGTTTGGGAAATGAGAAGCAGAGAGGATTGATAGGGGCCAAAGGCATATGAACCAGAGGAACTAGGGGAGCCATGAAGGACCCTGAAAGCCAGTCTGTGTGGTTAGGACTTCACTCTGCAGGCTCCCTTTTCTCTTTTTTTTTTTTTTTCCAGATGAAGTTTTACTCTTGTTGCCCAGGCTGCGGTGCAATGGTGCGATCTCGGCTCACTGCAACCTCTGCCTCCTAGATTCAAGCAATTCTCCTGCATCAGTCTCCCGAGTAGCTGGGATTACAGGTACATGCCACCGCATGTGGCTAATTTTGTATTTTTAGTAGACATGAGGTTTCGCCATGTTGGCCAGGCTGGTCTCGAACTCCTGACCTCAGGTGATCACCAGCTTCCGCCTCACAAAGTGCTGGGATTACAGGCATGAGCCACCATGCCCAGCCTCCTTTTTCTCTAACAAAGAGAGTAATCTTAACACTGGAAGGGATAGAAGAAACATCCCTGGGGAGAAATTGCCAAGAGCCTAAGATGGCAATAGACTGTTCAGTTACCATGAATACATTCTCCAGGCCTCAGCAAGCCACCTTGAATTTTGCCAGATGGGAGTTGCAGAAAACTGGGAAGGGAAAAAAGGTCATAATTTTCCAAAAAGCAGAAAAAGTTGGATTCTGGAAAATGCAGATGATACATTTGCTGTTAATATTGGTTCTGAGCAAAAATTTTCACAGCTCTTTGAAGAGCTAGTGTGTAAACACTTGGAAGGAAAAGTGGTGCCTAACAGCCAAACCAACCTCGTTCCCTCTTTTCCTGTGTTACCAGACTGGATTTACAAAGCAATGGAGAGGCTTCTTCATAAAATCCTGTGGACAATGAAGAAGAAAGTAGGCTAGGTGAATGAATGGTTGGGGTGATTTCATTTTTAGTTGAACAGGCATTTCCAAAGCTCTGAGAAACAGATCAATAGAGACGTGGCTGGGAGGCATCCAGTGCCATACACAGGACTCTGCGCCCCTCCTGTGCCGCTAACCTGATTATCAATTATAAGAACAAAGGAGACATTGAAGGGTGCACGATGGCACATTCACTGCTATCAAAATGCCAGATTTAAGAGTTTAAAAGATTTTGGTTGGCTAAAATGATGGATAGAAGCCAATAAAATGGCATTTAACAAGAGTAAAGATAAATCTTGTCACTGAAGTTTTTTAAAAAAATCAATTAGCTCAGTACAGGATGGAGAAGATCCAACAGCAGTTCATTTTTAAAAGGCTGATAGGTTTATAATTGACCGGAAGTTCAACCTGGAGCCTACAGTCTACATCCTGGCTGCTCAAAAAAAAAAAAAAATCAATACAAGGTTTAGTTGCATCAATAGAATCATAATATTCAAGATACTAAAGGGAAATGCCACCCGGGTCAGTCCTCTGAGGTAACTGTATGCAGTTCTGGGTACCTGAATTTCAGGATTCAGGATAAAAGGATCTGGTTGGGTGGGATGGACATCTCTCCAGACAAGGAGTCTAGAAACAATGTCACATGGTGGACAGGGAGGAAACGGAGAATGTCGCCCTGGAGAAGATGTGCGTTCTCCTGTTCTCTTCCAGGCATTTGAAAGCCTATCATGTATAATAGGCCACCACTTTTGTCCAGAGTTTATTCGTTCACTCAGCATTTACTCACTGCCAACTACATTCAAACTTGTGTCAAGCATGATGGGCATTAGGGGTATATGATTTCCCAGGAGAGACAGACTTGTACACAAGTTCCCACAAGGCAAAGCAGATTGGCACAAGCGCAGATGTGCTCATGACTGCGAAGACCCTGCTGACAGGGCAGCTCCTACCCTGGCGGGCAGGGGAGGTGGGCACTCAGACCTAGGGCACAGCACTGGCCAGGGTTCAAAGCCTTCAAGTGCACAGCACGTCTGAGAGTTGTGAAGAGGAGTTTTTAGAAAGCACGGTGGGGCAGGGGTGTGTTGAATGCCAAAGACGGCATTTGCAGCAGGAACGCAGACAGACTTGAAGTCCATGCCAAGATGTTTGCACTTAATATGGTAGGCAGCAGAGAACGAGAGGACATCAGTTAGTGCCTCTTTGGGTAAGTTAACCCTGGAGTAATGAAGCCGGACTGGGTAAACCAGGACATAGGCTACTGTTGCAATGTTCCAGAGGAGATAGGAGCCAGAAGCAGGAGACAGGGAGATGAAATTGACCAGACAAAAGTAGGATTGGTGAAGAATGCTTTGGCAAGGGCAATTTGGGATAAAAATAAACAACAATCTTTTTAATAATTGGAGTGCTTCAGATCTGAAAGGGGCAGAGTGACCATTTGTCTGGGATGTTATAGAAAGGACAGCTGCATCAGCAAGCGGGTTGGAGGCCACAGAGTTGAATGTTCCCTTACAGTTGTGAGAATCAGTGATTTCCTCTCACTTTGTGGAGTAATGATTTTATCATGAGAAGCTATATTTTATATTTTAATATCAGTAGTGAATGGTGCTGCATCTGTGGAATAGCTAATTCTTGACTCTGAGATTCTTTTCTGAGATTCCCTTTTTTTTTTTTTTTTTTTGAGACAGAGTCTTGCTCTTTCGCCCAGGCTGGAATGCAGTGGTGTGATCTCGGCTCACTGCAAACTCCGCCTCCCAGGTTCAAGGGATTCTCCTGCCTCAGCCTCCCAAGTAGGTGGGATTACAGGCACCTGCCACCATGCCCGTCTAATATTTGTATTTTTAGTAGAGATGGGGTTTCACCATGTTGGCCAAGCTGGTCTCATACTTCTGACCTCAGGTGATGCCCCTGCCTCATCCTCCCAAAGTGTTGAGATTACATGCGTGAGCCACCGCACCCGGCTTGTCTCTGAGATTTCTATACTAACTGTATTGATCTGCTCGGACTCCCTTAAGAATGTGCTACAGACTGGAGGACTGAAGCAGCAGAAATTTATTTTCTCATGATTCTGGAGGCTAGAACCAAGAGTGGGCAGGGCTGGATTTTTCTGTGACCCCTCTCCTTGGCTCACTGGTGGCTGCCTTCTCCCTGTGTTTTCACTGTATCTTCCCTCTGCTTGCAGCTCTGTCCAAATTTCCCCTTCTTAGAAGGACACCAGTCCTACTGGATTCCGCTCCAGCCTAATGCCCTCATTTTAACTTGATTACTTCTGTAAAGGCCCCGTCTTCAAGTAAGGAAACATCCTGAGGTCCTGGGGGTTAGGACTTCAACAGATGAATTTTGTGGAAGACACAGTTCAACCTATGATACGAACTGAAGGTCAACTTTCTCTACTCTTAGAGTAAAATCAGAAGCCCCCAACAGGATCTCCAACGCCCTATGCAAGCAGACCTCCTCATCTCCTGCCACAGCCTGCCTGACATGGCCGCCCCTTGCTCTGCCATGGCTGTTCTGGTAGCATCTTTTCCTCTTCAGTCCAGTTCAGACTCTCAGGAATAATCTGAAATCCTTCCTCCTAGCTTTGTTCCTTAGTGCTTATAATTTGTATTTATACATCTATCTGTATGATTATTGTATGTCTGAATGTCTCTTAGACTGTGACTATGACCTACAACAAGAAATGCCTTGTATTATATATCACAACTCAGCACATGTAGATACATTTTAAGTAAAGACCAATGTTTCCAGTACAAATACTCATTCTTGCTATGCCCAATGCACTCTGATATTCTGTATTCCATTTCATGCTAAAAACTGTGTTAGAACATACACAGCAGCCAGGCATGGTGGTGTGCGTCTGTAGTTTCAGCTGCTTGGGAGGCTGAGGAGGGAGGATCGTTTGAGCCCAGGAGTTGGAGGTTGTAGTGTGCCCTGATTGCACTTGTGAATAGTCACTGCACTCCACCCTGGGCAACATATGTTGCACCCTGGGCAACATACCTCCCTAATGTGTGTGTGTGCGCATGCGCGTGTGTGTACACACGTTACCATTGTAACCACTTTTAAGTGCACAATTATAAAGCATGAGCATATTCACATTGTTTTGCTACCAACACCACCATTCATCTGCAGAACTTTTTCATCATTCCAAACTGAAACTCCACACCCATTAAGCACTTGCCTCCTATTCCTCCCTCCCCGTAGCCCCTGGCAGCCATCATTCCACTTTCTGTCTCTATGACTTTGGCAACTCTAGGCACTTCATGTAAGTGGAGTCGTAGACTATTTGTGCTTTTGGGGACTGGCTTATTTCACACCAGATAGTGTCTCGCAGGGTCATTTATGTAGTAGCATGTGTCAGAATCCCCTTCCTTTTTAGGATGAAATAAGATTCCACCGTACGGATGGACCAATTTTGTTTAACCACTCATCCATCAGTAGATACTCAGGTTGCTCCCGCCTTTTGGCTATTGTGAATAATGCTGCTATGAACGTGGGTGTACAAATATCTGACCAAGTCCCTGCCTTCAACTCTTTTAAGTACCCAGAAGTGGAATTTTCTATTGCTTTCTTTCTTTTTCATTTTTGCCTTTTTTGTTCTTTGAGACAGCATCTCCCTCTGTTATTTAGGTTAGAGTGCAGTGGTACAATCTCGGTTCATTGCAACCTCCACCTCCTGGGTGCAAGCAACTCTTGTGCCTCAGCCTCCTCAGTAGCTGGGACTACAAGTGTCTACCACCATGCCTGGCTAATTTTTGTATTTTTAGTAGAGACGAGGTTTCACCATGTTGGCCAGGCTGGTCTTGAACTCCTGACCTCAGGTGATCCACCCGCCTTGGCTTCCCAAAGTGCTGGAATCACAGGCATGAGCCTCTATTTCATTTTAAAACTTGCCAATTATGACTCTTTAACTGACTTCACAGCCACCTGCAGTTTGGAAAGCACTGTGCTCTACATCCCCACCCCCAGGCATAGGGTCTGCACTGTGTAACTGTTTTGGGAAGAGTGTCAGATTAAACAATAGATGCACAAGGCTGCACATTTCTGGGTGATTTTTAAAAATGGCTTCTCTATGAATAAAGGCTACAGAGCTTTCACTTTCTCTTTCTCACACGTTGTACAAATGCTGCTATTAATTCCACTGAACACTGTGGTTATATCGTCCTAGAGAGTGCATATCATTTATTACAATGACAACATTTTTGGGGACAGGCTATAAATTATCTCACAATGACGTGGAATATCAGTCTGTTAAAATGTTTAGGCAAAACCATCACACATTATTAATTAAGTTTTCAGAGATTTTTCTTGAACTTTCTCCATAGATCTTTTTTAATGCTGTGTAGATTATACCTAATTGATTTAACATGCATATCATTGTAATTATTCTAAATTTAGATTTTTTTAGAGTAAGATTTTACCATTGTGGGAAAAACATAACTGTGTAGTACTCTAGGTTAAGAGAGTAATGATGATCTTTATCATCTCAAAAGAAAGTGGAGTGAGTTCTTGTCTTATTTGTAACTTTACTCTAATGGAAATAGTATCTCCTAAGAAAATATCCAGTTTAATTTTGCAGCTGAACTTTTAAACAGATGTCTCCTTTACCATGTCTGAATTGTGGTCACCAAATATCATAATATTAAACATCAGGAATGCTAACATTCTCTTTTTCTTTTTGAGATGAGATCTCACTCTGTTGCCCAGGCTGGAGATGGGCATTGCCCAGGCTGCACTGTATGGAGTGTGGTGGTGCAATCATAGCTCACTGCCACCTCAACCTCCCGGGCTCAAGTGATCCTCCCACCTCAGCCTCCCAAATAACTAGGACTAGACACACACACCCCTATACCTGGCTTTAAGAAAACCATCTTCTAATCATTCATGATAATTACTTCCTTTTCAAGTTCAGAAATGCCACACCTCAGCTTTTTGTGCCAATCATCCAACATATCATAAAGTATAAAATTGCAAAGTGGAGTAGAGAGAGCATGAAGACTGGACTAGACAGAGGGAAGATGGGAAATGAGGAGGATGAAAGGTATACCTGGGTGTTAAGCCTCACCCTTTGAAAGCCTCTTCTCCATAGCACCTGCCTCTTGCCTTAGAGAGGCAGAGAACCCACCTGTGCCCGAGGGGGCAAGGCGATCCTTTATCCGGCCTTCTGCCAACTATCTTTGCCCCCTTCCCCCACAATTTCCTTTACCTGCCAAAGTTTTCTTTTCTTTCTTTCTTTTTTTTTTTTTTTGGGACAGGTCTTATTCTGTCATCTAGGCTGGAGTGCAATGGCATGATCTTGGCTCACTGCAACCGCCACCTCCTGGGCACAGGTGATTCTCCCACTTCAGCTTCCCAAATAGCTGGGACCATAGGTGTGCACCACCATGTCTGGTTAATTTTTTTTTTTGTATTTTTTTTTTTTGTAGAGACGGGGTTTCCCATGCTGCCCAGGCTGGTCTTGAACTCCTGGACTCAAGCCATCCACCCACTTTGGCCTCCCAAAATACTGGAATTACAGGCATGAGCCACCACGATTGGCCTTCCTGCCAAGGTGTTCTAACATGCATGTACATGTCTTTTCCCTTTGATATACGGCGACCTATTTTCTCACCAGGGTGCTCCATGTCACCTGGGAGCCCTCTGCCACCAGACAGAAGGGCCTTACTCCAGCCTCATCCTACTTGAGCCTTCCTGCAGAGAACCCTGTGAAAATGCTCACTGGAAGCTTTCTGTGGGAGACAATGTCCTCTGCTGCTTCTCCTGCCTCTCAGACCATTCCTTCCCTCTCCTTTGTAGAGGCCGTGCCCCAGCCCCTCTCCAATTTTCCATTCTCTTCTTTAGAGATGTCATTTACAACCCCTTTGCTGACAACTCCTAAATCTCAATTCTTTCTCTCCAGTTGCTACAGGGCACTTCTAATTGGAGGTTTCGCTGTCCTCACTTGACCTTCCTGTCTTTCCAGCTGTATGGTCCTATAGCAACTTCCCTCTGGCCAGCCCTCGGAGCCTCATTTCTGGGTCACTGCAGACATCCTGGGCTGTTCCAGCAACAGGCGGCTCCCTAAGACAGCTCTCATCAGTGGCCTGCCTGTGTGAACCCTCCACACGTTCCTCCATCTCCCCCTGGGTCTGGTCAGGCTCCTCTGCAGCTCTGGGGTCCCCTCTCACCTGGCCCCTTGCCCTTAGGCCAGTCTTATTTCCCACCTGTCTGCACAATGTCTGCAGGCACTGTTCCTTCTTTCCTCACTAGCACTCTCCTGCCGGCTGTCCTTCATCCACCCAGTCACAGTCAAACCCGCGGCACCTGTGGCCCTTCAGCCTCCACCCACAATGCAAATTCCCCATTAACAATCCTGCTAGGACAGGGATAAGGTCTTAAACTTGCCCCTCTGCCCACAGCATGTAGCACCAGTCCTTACTAACCCACGTGCTAACTGTGCCACACACAGAGTGACAGAGCCTGTCCCTGACCTGCCATCTACCGATGTCCAAGCTGGGCTTCGGAAGGACAGGCCTGTGACCACAGAGAGGCCTGCGAGTTTCCCTAACTCAAACGTATTATTGAGTTCTTACTTCACCTACTGTGTTCAACCTGCACAAGTCAGTACCTACAATTTCAGAAATTTGCATGGAACTGAATAATGACTATGATGCAGCAGGAAGTGCAAACGTTCTGCAGTCTCTTTGGGACCAAGCCCATTCTTGGGTTAGATCATCCATTTTATATATTCTAATTTCCTGCTTCCCCACTTGTTATTTGGAGCATCTTTACCTACTTCAAGCCATGGGTATAAAATGCAAACCATTAACTGTATTTATATGCGTATAGGCTGGAAAAGTTACAAACTCATGGATCTGTGTGTTTCTCCCACTGCGCTATCTTCTAACTCTTGGTCTCTTTCTGATGTAGAATAAATTGATTTCCTTAGTCCTGTAGCGAGTTAAGCCTGTAATGTGGCAGATCTGTATCCCAGGGGCTGATCGTAGGGAAACCACAGAGCGATGTTTTAGCTGCGTCCTGTCCTCAACGCGGCGGACTTCCAGCCTGGTGCCAGGATGGCCTCTGCCCCAGTGTGAGAGAAGCTTCGAAGGTTCGAGCGGACTTGCCGGTCCTGTGCCACTTCTCAGTGAGGCAGGGCCTTGCTGCCGCAGAAAAACGTGCAGACCCAGGGGCGCGCCGGTCGGATGTGGCCCACAGGGAGCCGCGGCGTGGAAACGGCCGAAATGCGCGGGCGCGTTGTCCATGTTTGGTGGCGGCGCTGCCCGCGGGCGCCGGAACAGCGCGTCGGGGGCGGGTGGGCTTGGGCGTCCGCAGCGGAGGTCACCCCGCCCCCCCCAGGCCCGCTCTCTCCCAGCCCCTCTTTGTCCCCGCGCCCCCTCAAGGGCCGCCCGCAGCCTCTGGGCCCCCGAGCGCGGAGGCGGGGCCTGGCCGAGGGAACGGCGGGCGGCAGAGACGTCCCGCAGCACGCAGGCTGCCCGGGCCGCACTCCCCGCGGGGGAAGAGGCCGCGGGCGCGGGGAGGCTCGGCCCCGCCCCGCCACGTCCCCCTCCCGGCCCGGGCCCCGCGGCCGCCGAGGCCGCCCCCTCGCGGGCGGAGCGGGCGCTGGGCTCGCGCGGCGGCGGCGGCGGGCCCGGGGTTGCCATGGTAACCGGCAGCAGCAGCCGCCACAGCAGGGCCGGCCCCAGCGCCAGCGCCGGTCGCGGTCGGGCTCGGCTCAGTGTGTGGTGAGCGGCGGCGGCGCGGCCCGGCCGGGGAGCGGGCGCGGCCCGGCGGCCTCAGCATGGAGGACGGCTTCTCCAGCTACAGCAGCCTGTACGATACGTCCTCGCTGCTCCAGTTCTGCAACGGTGAGGGGCGGCCGCGCGGGGCCGGGGCGGCGGGCGGCGGCGACGGCGACGGCGGGGACCGAGCCGAGGGGCCGAGGCCCGGCGGCCGCGGGCGAGGCCGCGCAAAGTTGCTGCGGAGGGGCGCGCGGTCCCGGTTCCCGCCGCCGGCGCATTGTGCTGGGGCCGCGGGGCCGCGCCTCGCCCCGGGCCGCCCCGGGCTCCCCGCCGCCGCCCAGGCTCCCGACCCTGGCGCGCGGATCCCGCCGGCTCCAGCCCCCGCGGAGTGCGCCCGGGCAGGAGGCGCGTGGGGCGCAGGGCGGCGGGGAGGCCCGGGCAGCCTCCGCGTTCCGGAGAACGTGTTGCTTTTTTGCTTCCCAAGTCACATCTGTTTGGAAATGATTGGATGAAGAACTCGGGAAACAAATCCATTAGTAACAAAACCCTCCTGCGAGGATGCACGCAGGGTTCACTGTAGATGGACCCCCAGAACCCATTCAGGTCTACTTTAATGAAATCACCACAGTTTAATACAATCTAGAGCTTTTTAAATGGAAGCCACAGTGGACCTGGCCTCAGTGTTGCTTTTTATTTTGTTTATGGGATAATGGATTCTTTTTTCTTTTCTTTTTGTTTTTGCGATTTTACAGGAAGGAAACATTCATATCCACCAATATGGCATCTTTTTAAGAATATGAAATCCTACATGCTTGAAAGATTCAGTCTCTTTGACAGGGTTGAAAAAGATTTTCACAGCACACTGAATATTTTATCAGAACATGATGTGTGATAATTCATGCACAAAAGTTAACCACACTTTTTTTTTACATGTTGGATTTGTTGCTTCATCAAAGGGCCCCAAAAGCTTGTTAATGGGGGAAAAAATCTGTATTTGATAGAATTTGCGTAAGTGCAGTCGGAATAATTTTTAACGCTAGACCCTTTGATAACTGGAGCAATTGATTTTGATATTGTTTTGTGATTTAGGGAAACTTTTCTTGTTATTCGACACCTGTTTGTCACTGTAGCAGTAAAGAGTATTGCGTGTGTTGATTCATCCTCTGCAGTGGTGTTTTTATCTCTGGTGAAGTGTATCATCTTGTTCATGGTAGAATGTATACTCTGGTAGCTTCCGTAGCTTATACTTTACAACTGAACCATTTGTGGGTCTTCATGAACTTAGTCATTCCGTTTTCAGTGGAATTAAAGTTTCTACTCTGAATTTAACGCCAGTTTCCAAGAGCAGAACACCTGTGTTTTTGAGCCTCAGAAGGTGTTGAGGGCAGGTGAAATGTATTTGGTATGCTGGCAGGTCCCTGGAATACTTCATAGGATAGACTCATGGGAACGGTTTTGCTCTCCAGTAGATTAAATAGATTCCTCAATTAACATTTTGAATAGTTTCCTTAATTGACTTATAATCAATCATATTCAAATTATTATTTTTGATCTAAAAAGTAGGTACAGCCTCCCATATGCTTATGGTAGAATTCTCCCTATGCTGGTTGGAAAGATACGTGGCTGAAATTTATATTAAACGACTTTGAGGCATCACATCTTATGAATCTAATCCGAGGGCATGCTATTGACAGCTTGATTTGAGTTAGGAAAATGAGCTTAGATAGTTTTATTGGAGCAGTGGGTTGGGGGCCTGGTCATACTGTTCCTAAGTAGCAGTTCAGTCATAAAGTTGACCTACACTTCTATTCATCAATGTTTTGGTTTTCTGAATTTTCCTCTTCATTGCCAGCCTAGAGATATTGGCATGGTATTTTACTGGTGTTGATATCCAGAAGAAAGTAAAAACCAGCTCTTCTATTTTGTAGTGGTAACGTTTTAAAGGAAAAAACACCTTAACTAGAATCAAACAATAAGATCACTTTGTAACTATTGAATTACTTCTCTCAAAAAGTTCTTAGCTCTGTGTGTTTGTTATTTTTTTTTAGATTGTCGAATAAATTTTAAAGCAAGAGTGTCCTATGGGGCAGAAATGAATGTTAACTGGTGAATCTTAGGCAACAGATGTTTTGATGTGAAATATTTTAAAAGGCTTTTATTAAGTGAAAATATAAATGAATATGAGGCAGTTAATTACTATGATGATTCAATTAAAGCAGTGGATGACCGAAATGCCATTTCACCAGGAACTAAATTAAACATTTGGGTATTTCATTAGCTACGTTGGCAAACATTTTTCTTCTTTTTAAATGAGAGAATTAGATTACAATGGTAAGACTACAGCAGCATAATATATGAACTCATGCATTTTCATATGTTGAGTATGCTTCATGTAGTGACGAACTACGAAATCATGGTTCTACATTAACTTTAGAAAATATAATTCATACATGTGGTTTGGATGACTGTCATAGTTAACTTCTTTCTGGCCAAATAAAAACAAGATATGGGAGATTGAGATGGGAGGATTACTTACTTGAAGCCAGGAGTTTGAGAGCAACCTGGGCAACATAGTAAGACCCCCTCTCTCTACAAAAAATGTTTAAAAGTTGGCTGGGTATGGTGGCTTGAATCTGTAGTCCTAGCTACTAAGGAGGCTGAGATGGGAGGATTGCTTGAGCCCGGGAATTTGACGCTGCAGTGAGCTATGATTGTACCACTGTACTATAGCCTGGGTGACAAAGTGAGACCCTGTCGGGAGAGAGAGAGAGAAGATAATGTATAAATGAGAAGGGGGAAAGAGAAAAGTTTGTTCTAATGAATGAAATTTCTGCCTTCCATTATACTTTTTCTTGCTGTCTGTCCTTGTAATTTGTAAAGGACATGAAATGCAAAGTTAGGCAGTATTGAGCCTCCTGAAAAGGCTCACCGTCATCTTTCAGGAACTGCCTTTCTTATTTAAGCAGAAAATGTATGCATTGTTTTCTTCAGAGTATTTAAAATCTGTAAAGTGAGCTAGAAATCACAAACTTTCTCTTTTTTTTTTTTTTTTTTTTTTTTTTTTGAGACAGATCTCATTCTGTGACCCAGGTTGAAATGCAGTGGCATGATCACAGCTCACTGCAGCCTCAGACTCCTGGGCTCAAGCATTCCTACCTCAGCCTCTCGAGTAGCTGGGACTACAGGTGCACACTACCATGACCAGCTCACAAACTTCTTTTAAGGCTGAAGAAAAAAAAAACCACCTTGAAGTGTTTTGAAAAGTGAACAATAGCTACCCTTTATAAGCCAATTTATGATTTGGGAAACACTCCACATTTTCTTCGAAGCCTCATTTTGAGGTAGGTGGTGTTAGCATCCTTCCTTTCCATCTGAGGAAACGGAGGCTCAAAGAGATTTGGCAACTTTATCGGGCCACAGAACTAGTAAGGGCTTGGATACCAGCCTGAATCTGTGTGTGTGTATGTTAGTAATAGCTTTATTGAAATATTTACATACCATAAAAATACGTTTTTAAAGCGTACCATTAAGTGCATGTAGTATATTCACAGAATTGTACAGTTGTTACCACTCTCTGATTTTAGAACCTTTTCATTGCTCCAGAACACCGGTGCCTACTAGCAGTCACTCCATGTTCTCCCATTGCCCTCACCCCTGGCAACCATTCATCCACTTACTGTCTTTATAGATTCTGGACATTTTATGTCAATGGAATTATAGAATATGTGGTCTTTTGTTCCTGGCTTCTTTCACTTAGCATATGTTTAAAGGTTCATCCATGTTGTTGCCTGTGTCAGCATGCCGTTCCTTTTTATGGCCAAATTATATTCCACTGTGGGGAGATACCACACGGTTTAAATCCGTTTACCTGTTGATAGCTTATTTGGTTACTTCCACTTTTTGACTCCTATCAGTAAGGCTACTATGGGCACTCACATGCACATTTTTGTGTAGACTTATGTTTTTATTTCTCTTAAGCGGATATCTCAGAGCGGAATTGCTAGGTCATATGGTAACTCTGGGCTTTACATTTTGAGGAACCAGTCTGAACTTTTTGAAACCGAAATATCAAGCCCTTTTTTAAATTATACCTTTCTGATAAAAGCATAAGTAATTAAGGAAATGGATGAAGGAGAAAGAAGTGGGGGCAAGTAACAAAATGTTGCTCATGCTTTTCCGTGAGTCCTTTGGATCCTTTGATCAATCACAGCTCATCAAAATGAGTCACTGCACAACCGCACTTGGTTGCCATAGGTAATAAGAATCTCAGTGGCTGAACGAACCTGACAGGTCATCTCATCTCATGGTTTACTTTCTTAAGCCTTTGAGCTGTTTCTTCAAAGTAGAGGTTATCCAGGAACCCAATGGTAAAGCAGACAGATACAGAGCTGCCCTGACTGAAAGGGAGGGGGAGAGGGTGGTGATTTGGCCCACCTCTCTTTCCCCCACCCCTCTAGCTTGAAATCTCTGCTCTGTCGGGGAAACTGGAAAGGCTCTTCAAAGCTGAAATGGCTGTTTAACCCGTGCATGAGCATTTTCAAGAGACTAGAAAGTAACTACCTCTCCAGGCAATCCATTTTTTTCTCCAGAGAGTTCAGACTGTCAGTTCCTACAAGCAGTGAAAATTCAGCTGAAGTTCTGTCCCTTAGGTCCATAGAGAATAGGTTTAATGTCTTGTCCCTATACTAGATCATCACATGTTAGAAGACAATCATTATAGTTCTTTCTCACATCTTCTAACTCTTAAAATGTGATTTTAGACCCTTAATCATCTTAGTTGCCTCATCTACACCTGTTTCCTTTTGTCTCTATTCCTTTCTTAATTTGATACAACGGAATGTGGTATTCCAGGCATGGTTTCTACACAGAGAAGAATAGAATAGGATACATCACCTCCCTTGTTCCAAAGTCTACCCTTTTTCTTTTCTCCCCTTTTTTTTTGAGATGGAGT